CAATAATTTCTCTCCAAATGATCTTGATGATCAATTGCTTATGAATTATGATGTTGTTTGATATGGACTGCAATGGAAGCCAAAATCTAGGAAGAAATAGTGTACTTAATACAAATGAAATTTCATGCCTGCTATAAACAAAACAATTTAGCTTAGACTGCTAGAGACAGGATAGAGAGCAGAGCATAAGTTACAATCTATACAAAATGGCGAACAATACAAAATGAAATTCCATCCCTATTACAAAAAAATAATTGGGCCTATACAACTCGAGGTAGGATAGAAAGAATGGCACTATGTTTATTTGTCTAACATAACTTAACAATTTTCTACTAACCTGAGAAATGTCAACAAGTACTCCACTCACTAGATTCAGTAACTTTTATTGCTACTTGACCATGTCATGAGCCTAGAACGTGCATAGCTTGATTCCTGTTGCTTTTTTTTTTTATCTTGATTCCTGTTGCTTAACTAACAATAAGGCCTAGCTAAAAGTTCACCATAATTGAATCCTAATCTTACTAACAGTCGAGCCTGGACAAAGGTTTGCCATAATTAAACAGCTGAAATATGTACATATACGCAATAATTTATCTTCAAAGGATCTAGATGATCAATGCACATCTGGATGATGTTGTTGTTGATGTGAACTGCAATGAAAGTTATTATCTAAAAAGAAAAGGTGTCCTTAATATAAATGAAATTCCAGGCTTGCTTGAAACAAAATAATTGAGCCTAGAATAATGGAGGCAGGATATAGAGCGGAGCAAAATTTATCATCTATAAGGAAATGGGGAGCAATTTAAAATGATATTCAGTACCTATTATAAAATAAATAATTGAGCATAGAAAACTAGAGGCAAGTTATAGCGAAAAAAAAGCATTATGTTTACTTGTCTAACATAAATTAAAAAATTTCTAACCTCGATATAAAAGAAAATGGTAAAGGTCAAAAAGTTCATTACTCGCCAAATGATGCAACTTATGCTGCTACTCGACCAGGTCACAAGCCAATAACTTGCTTAGAGTTTGAATGATCTTGCTCAACTAAAAATCGGACAGGATAAAGGTTTACCATAATTAAACTAGGTATATGTGCGCAATAAGTTCTTTCCAAATGATCAGTTGCTTATCTATGGCAATGTTGTTCTTTGATGTTGATAACAATGGATGTTAGTATCCACCTAGAATTGGCGTACATAATACAAACAAAATTCCATGCCGGTTATAAACAAAACAATAGAGCCCAGACTACTAGAGACCAAATATAGAGAAGAGCAGAAGCTATTACCCATACAGAAATGGTGAAAAATAAAAAAGCGGAATTACGCACCTATTATAAATAAAAAATTTATCCTAGACTGGAGGTAGGATACAAAGAGCATTATGTTTATTTGTTTAACATAAATAAAAAATTATCTAATCTCTACATAAAAGAGAGAGAAAATGAAAAAAAAAATTCTCTGCTCATCACTTCATCAGATACTACAACTTCTGCTTCTAACTTGAACAAGGCAATGAGCTTAGAACCTGCTTAGCTTGATTGACCTAATCAACTAATAGTCAGGCCTGGCCAATGGTTTACCATAACTCAATCCGTACTCTTACTAAAAGTTGGGTCTGGTAAAAGGTTAACCATAATTAAACTATTGCATATGCACATATATGCGGTAATGTCTCTCTAAATGATCTCAATGATCAATTGCTCATCTATGTAGAATGTTGTTTGATGTTGACTGCAATGAAAGTTATTATCTAGAAATCATTGGTGTATTCTAAAGTTTAAAGCAACAACCATTCACCCTCCATAATGATTTGTTACGGGTGATAAGTTTAATATTAATCTCAACTCACAAAGAGCTAATATTATATCAAAAATATCACAATATTTTTCACGAAAAATTTCTCACCAAAAAAGACTTGGCACTTATAACTTATAGATAATTTTGTCACCAAATAGCATCACTAAATAACGGAACCCTCCCTCTAAGCCTCTAACCAAGTGGGTTTCACCGCAAAATGACATAATTAAATTACGATCATGGCCAAAGCCAAGATATTCTCCAATGTCTATGCCCCCATTGAGTTTTAAATCATAATTTGTACTTGATAAGCCGCAAAGTTTTCTGTTAGTTAAGATTGACTTAAAATTATCCTCTTAGATAAACATTCACCTCATATCTACAACATTCCCTTAGACAATGCAACAATGACTACCGATAAGAAGCACTTGATTAGTTTAAGTCAAATACCTCAGCAAACTAAGTAAACCAACGTTCATGACAACCCGAGATGATAAAATCATGGAACATTAATCAGGTTCATCATCATTCTGTCCACCATCTGCTTTAAGCTAAAGGTGATGAATTTTCTAAATCCTAAAATCAAATTGCTGCTACAATTTGTTATGCATTTAACATTGAATGACTAGTCTAAATTGAAAGCTTTCTTTCATCACCGGGAGAGCTAATTAACCACAGGGGGTCTTCTGCCTACGAAAAACTCCGAACCACATCATAAAGCTCTCAGAAAATGAGGGTGAAATTTTTAGCTAGTATCTCATCTAAAATCTAGCCAGCCTTCTGAAAATTTGGCCTAGACCAACAAAGTCGGGCACAAATTTTCAGAGCTTAGAAATTAAAACATCTAGTAGCATTGCAATAAAAATAAGAAGATAAAGTTAGAGCATCTTTAGCTTTCATTATAAGGATTCCCTCAACGAAAGAGGTTTAAAACTTTTTGAGATTTTATAAGTACAGCCCGAGTGGCTTGCATTGCCCAATGGCAATTGCTTTAAATTAAAGCGTTGCTAAGGAGAAACAATGTGCTGCTGCGGCTGTACCCAACAGCAAATGCATTCCAACAGAATAATATAAATGCATCTGCAGAAAATCAATGGCATTTTGTTGCTTCTGCTGGACAACGATTGTAGTAAGTGCAATACATTTTTTTACTAAGAATCTTCAGTATAATAAGTTGATGTATTTCAAGAATCTTAAAAAAAAGCTATAGAAAATAGATATATCTTCCGATCTTCATAAACTATAACATTGTGGAGGGCACAATGAAGAAATGTCAACGCTACGGAAAGTATCTCAAATAATTTGCCTGAAAAATAAAGATCTCAGATTTAGATAAAATATCTTGTTATGCATGTTGTTCATGATCTCATCCTCTAGCAATAACACCTAATAAACTCAATTAAAAAAAAACCCTTTAATTGCTCAATAATAATTCAGTCACTTAACTTGGTTGCTCCATTTGTTAGTGTCATAAAGTCTCTTTAACGCCGTGACATCGCAGAAGTATGACATCAATCTCAACTTATTTCCCCTTTTTTTATTGCTATACCAGTGATCCATCCTACTACATCTAGCAGGGGAATATTGTTTCAAAATAGAAATGATGCAATGCTCTGAATTACGAAGAAACAGGCAAAACAGATTACCAAAAATTAACTAGCAACTTTATCCAAATATTTCGGGCTGAATTTCCATTTTTGGTTCAAAAAACTTTTAAGCTTTAATTGCAAATGTTATTTATTTTGAAGTTTCAATATCCGATGAAATTTGTATAACAAATCTAAAAAATGTTAATGGTCCAGAGGAAAAGTTGAAAAGTCTCATTATTAAAAAAAATAACTCTCTAAAAAGGAGAAGCACGGAGGAACATAAAACAAATCCAAATGATAAGTTTCCTCGGAATGTAAACATTCACGGATAATAATCGGCCGTGAAAAAAAGGGAAAACTTCATAGAAAGGAAAAAGCATGGTGGAACATAAACAAATCTCCTTAAAAGAGTAAGGTAATATAAAAAAAAAGCCCAAACGTATAATATGAATTAATAATTTTTGGTGCATAAAATGTAAAATACATAAAAATTAATGCATATATCATGGTTAGATGTAATTCGAAATCACCATATACCACTAAGATCTGCTGTTAGCATTGAATGTCATAACTTCAGCTCCATCCAATTTTTAATCGGACATAAGAATTGCATGGCGCCTTAGGCTCATTTGGTTGCTTGAATATAGAAAACATGTTTTAAAAAATGATGAAATTTATCATATTCATGGTCCGATGTAATAATAAATCAAAATTGATTTTGAAATTCATGTTCCATCAAAAACCATATCCAATTTAATGCTTTCATTCATAAATAACATAAGCAAGGATGAAATTAACATTTTCTAAAATATATTGTTATCAAGAAAGCAAATAGCCCTTAATAAACTCGATCCAAATTCATCTTCAAGAATAAAACAATTCAACTCATAAACCCCAATAAGTAACTCAAACTGATATATTTTATGTCTTCAATTGAAGATAAGTTAAAAAAAAAGAGAGTTTTTGTGCTCCCACAAGCATTGTGGGGACAGTAAAACCACCACGCATTTTGAACTTGAAACATGGTTAGCACCAGCATAAGAGTGGTGCTTTATTGTCGCATGTAAACACGCAGATAAAATCATACAAGCAGAGATCGACAAAGATAGTATCATCAGTACAAGGATAGATGATCAGTGAGATATATCTAAATAAAATGACGGCTTACTATAAAAAATCAAAATTTAAGTGGTAGTAGTTTTTTTTTTTTTCCAAATAAGAATTTAGGCCCAAAAATGTTTAAGCATTGAAAGTTTAGCCAAACAAAATGAGACTCACGCAAGAAAAAACCAAAATTGCTAGTAACATAAACATAGATCAACAATAATAATATCCCTGAGAACAGATATAAAACCACAAATGAATCCGTCACTATCATCGCATAACGCAAGTTTTATTCTTCAAGTTTCCTTTTGGCAGTGCCTGGATCCCCAAGGCAGTATGAAAGAGAAGCAACGTAGTGAAAACATAGTGGAAATATATGGCCTATGCATGCAGCATATACTATAGATAAAAAGAGGGGGTAAGGAGCATGGAAATTAGAGAGAGGAAAAAGAAATAATATTGATTGGAGATTACTTCAAGGTGTATGGAGCACAAACTCATGTACCTTAAAGGATAGAAGAAGACGGAACGGGCAGATCTAAGGAAATGCATAGCAGCCTAATTGGAACCAGAGGTGGCTGCATAGAAAGTAGGTGCAGTACTAGCAGTAGGAAGAACACTAGTATGATCCTCAGCAGCCCTCTCGCTGGTCTGTTCTAAGTCAGTATGAATAACAGCAGTTTGTGCATTGGATGCATCAGCATTCCTTCCACTTTCTCTTGTATCTAAGCGCTCCATCATACGTGAGACACTGGCAATTCCAGCAGTAACTTCCCTCCTAACTTCAGACCGAATATCTGCCATGCAAGAGTTCCGAGAGAATAATCGCTCCTTCCATCCACGAGTACTTTTAGTAATCGACTCTCTGTACCTAATTTACACATAAAGAGTAAATAAATCATTAATGATTCATTGATCTTTGGACGTCATAAACACATTTAATCTACCTCATTGAGACAGAATTTAGACGAGATTTTAGAGATTCTGAAAAAGATTGAAAATCTGATGGTCCTGCTCTATCATGGCCAACTGGAGTTGATTGGCCAGCGGAGAAACTGCAAAAGGATATCAAGAAGTAGTACTGATATATCAGAGAACAAGATTAGTACATAGAGAAACATATATAAACATTTTCATTTTTGGAGTATAATTACCGGTTGTTTAAAAGGGGAGTCCTATTGGCATTACCAATATTAGAACCAGATGACACATCAGTAACCAGCTCTGCTTGAGATGAAGTTACATTTGAAACTTCCTCTCCACTAGGAGTCACCAAAACTGAATGGCTATCAAAAGCCACAGCAGCAGCTGGTTCATCATCCCCACTTGGAGAAGAGGAGGCAGTAACAGAAGTAATAGAAGATGCATTTGGATTTGTGGAGAATACTACAAACTGGGGGCGTCCATGAGCTGCCGACCTAACACGCTGCCCTTCTCTTCTTGCAATATGATGAGCTCTATCCATGGCAGCAGCGGCGGCCAAGTGTTGGATTATGCGTTCTTCAAGTTCACTCTCAGTTGTACCAACTGGTAACTGCAACATGCATAGGAAAGAAAAGCAATGGAGAAAAATACTCAAAATACATCAAGAAAAATTTTTCTGGCCAATTAGTGCAAATTTATGAAAGAAAAACTCACATGCTGCAATTCAAAATCTCCTAGTGCAGGGTGGTGAAAAATAGCCGTGCTCCGAGTTTGATTAACCCTAACCCTAATTTCCCGTTCCTTCTCTACAACTTCAAGAAGTTCTTGGCTGCCAAGTCAGCATTACAACAAGAATTAAGCATTTGATTGGAGCAAAAATCAAGCATACATCAAAGATGACCACGTTTAAAACAAACCTAGCAGGATCCTTCAAGCTGATAGGCTGCCAACACATAGGACACTGAGAGCTTCTTTGACACCTAAATCCACGACCAGAAATCATTAAGGAAACAATCTAGCACCATAAAATCTCATTAACAAGGACGGTAAACTAACCTTCCTCCTTATTAAAGCTGAAAAGGAATCAATTTCAGAAACATAGACAATGGTAATTCTTTAGAATCACTTCAAGCACAACATAAGTATCAAGCATTGCAATTCCTAACACTAATAGCAAGCAAGAGTATCACAGGATTGCAGGAAAGATTATGCAGTCACTGAAAATATTCCTTCTAATGGTATGGGTGGGGGCACCAGGTTTGGAGAATGTACAAAAAAATCCATATCATTTGAAGGGAATGAAACAACCAGACGAACCATTAACCAAAACCAGGCATTTGAAGCTTCTATTAATATATAAAGTTAAAAAACATAGATGCTGCTGATGCTTACAAGTAAAACAGACCAAAAATAATGCTTACGACAAATTATTGAAGGCATGATAGAAAGAACCACAAGCCCCATTCCCATTTGATCAAATTTATGGGCATAGACTAATTAATACCTTGTGCTGAAAAATGTTGTCCAACAGACCCCATAAACAAAAGATTGTGCTTTTCTCGGGTAACTTTACTGAAATTTGGGACAAGATAGAACACAGAAGAATACAGAGCAAAGCATATCTGCTTGAAGAGACCTTACTAATCAGTAAGTGCTAAATTTCCAAATCGTCACCATTCCAAGCAACCGACAAAGCAGGATCAGAAATTCTCTTGTTGGTAACGCCACAAAACATCAACTAAATAATGCTGTCTTTAACAATGGAAGATAAGTTAATACTCACCACTCTAAAATGCATTGGAGATGGAATTCATGCTTGCAGCTCGTCACCTGAAGCGTCAATAATAGGATAAGTTAACATGAATGCAATCTAACACAGGAAAAAAAAAACTTAATTGTAAAACATCTAAAAACAAACTGTTGACGGGTCGCTATCACAGAAAGCTTCAAGACATATGCTACAGGCATCCTCACAAACATCTTGTATGCCTCCTTCAACAAAAGCTGCCGCAGATGAGAGATGACTATCCATTTTTGCAATCTCGTCCATCCTTTCGCGCCCAAAAAAAAAAAAAAAATTTCCCGTTTTAGAAATTAATAGTGCAACAAAAACCAGACGCTGGAAAAGAAAATTCAACCTAGAATCACACAAGAAACCCAAAAAAACACCCATCAATTATCCAAAATCTGGTCAATCTCAACTAAATCGAATAATAGCGATCGCAGTCAACGAATCACCCATCATAGCCCAGAAACAATCAAATGAAAAAAAAAAAAATCCACATTCCATATATATCGAGCGTGTTCAATAATCTCAACATACGAATCGGTGCAAAAATCCATCAATCAACGGGAAACTGCTGCAAATCGCAGTCAACTCGGCAACACAGATATCGATTCCGCAATAACAAACTTCAAGTATTATCAAAGGAATCGAGTCATACCTAAAGACCTTCGACTATGAGGGAGAAAGGATCAAGAAACCCTAATTAAGTAAACGAGCGACGAAGCGGATACCTCGCCTTGGTTCAATAGTCTTCGGTTGACGATAGGATGAACTGAAGCTCTCTCCTTGTCCTAAAAACTGTATTGAAGCCAATCACCCAGCACAAGGATGGCTTTCACACTTCTTTTTGATCGGCCGGGCTCTGCTTTTCTACCCATAATTGAGCTTTTTGTCCAAACATACTAAACTATTTTTATAATTATGCAAATTTCATTTTCTTGCTTCTTTACAGTTTAACCCTTCAAAAGCTAATCACATTATTTTATAGGAAGGTGAGTGGCAACAAATTTTCCTTCAATGGAGATTATCATCTCTGTTCAATTAAGTTTGAAAAAAAAAATGCACTAGGTATGATCAATGATGGATTCTAAATAGTTCCACTACACAAATTTAACCTAATGAAATAGTCATTCTTAACAAATCTGTCAATGATATATAATAATCTTATTGGGCTAGAACCCTAACTTCGTCTTTCCTCTTGTTCTTATCGGCTCTCCGTGTAACACGTACTAATCAGGATTCACTTGCACTTGTTTTGACCCGATTTGAAATTATAACTTACTAAATTTTTGCATTTGAATTTATCTGCATGTATCTGGGATTGTTTTGTATGCATATATGTATTTGGGAATGTTTTGTATGCATATGAATGTATGAATCTGCTATAGAGTGAGTCCGGGGATTTGTGTGTACGTTTGTGAAATCTGTTTCGCCTAGGGTACTGTAATGTTAGAGAAGATGGCAATGTGACATTGGGCTCTATGGAATTTGGCAAATTAATTCAATGCAGTGGTGCTACGACACACAAGTTCTAACGTCACGACATTGGTCCTGATTCTAAAATAAAAATATCATTTTCTACTAAATTGATTCATTCCATCCTATCAAGGCAGCAGGCTAGAGAGAGAGAATGATTGTTAGAGAGAAAGCCAATTTTAGGAGATTTTGGTTTGCTTTATGCTAATTTCCCAATTCTGAAAATTGTCTAACTCGAGGTTGATTGTATTTTGCCTATCTTAGTTTTTAATAATTAGATGATTTTAAAATTTTTCTGATTTAAAATATAAATTTCTGGTGTTCAAACTAAGATAATTTTTAAATGGGAAAATTTCTTTGCATACTTCTAGTATGTTGTAGAGAACGTAGTTATGGACATTTAATTTTTTTTTTTTTTAATTTGGCAAGGATTTTAGACGTTAGTTTTCTAAAATTGTAGGAAAATATTCAAGCACTAAAAATAATATTGTAGAACAGTTAAAGTCTCAAAACATAGTTCGACACATGGTTGAATTTTGAATATATAAATTTTAGTTGCAATGTTATAAGTATAATTGTTAAAATGCTGTTGATAGGGCAAATCTTTGAAATTCTATAAATACTCTAATTGATGCTTACATGCTTATTTATACCGTTATACGACATAATTGATACATATGTGCATCTCTGTTTACATTCTATTTGTATATGAGGAGCTTGAGGGGAGTTCTGTTAGATATCTGCAAAGTTTTGTTGCAGAATTTTTGAATGTACCGATATTACTAAAAGGCAAGAGGGTAAGGAGTTCTAAATGAGAGGCATAAGGGTCTGAAGTTTTGAATGAGAGAGATAAGTGTTAGAGTTATGTTGCATTCTATTTTGCATTATGTGTTTATTTATATTTTATTGAGCATATTGCGCTCTTAATTCTATAACCTACTTTGTTATTTGCAAAACCTTATACTTTTATAATATTGCTCTACTTCAGGTCTTCTATTAAGATTTTAATAACTCTTTTATTTTAAGTTATTGGTTTTGTGATAATTAAGAAATTATTTTAATAATGCAACATTTCATGCTTTGTTAGCTCATTTTGTATTATGCATTTCATTTTACGTCACGGCAGAGAAAAAGGGCTGATTAAGTGGTTGAGGCTGTTTTTTAGAGTTTGACTGATATATAGGTACATTTTCTATTTTTTGTTTTAGATTTTGATAGTTATTAGGGGAGTCAATATTTGACACGACCTGAAAATCGTACTCAAACCCGACACAGAAATTTCTGGTTTTGGTCAACCCGAACCCGAACTAAGTCGGGTTAGTGTTTTCGACCAATTTAAAAAATTGGGTTGGGTTCGGGTTGACCTGGATTGACCCACTGACCAAGCTGCCCTTCCCCCCGCTGCGCTGCCCGCTGACTCGAATGCCCTCCCGCATGATCGTGTCGCTTCGCCGCCTTTGCATCGCATCTGATGGCCCTGCTGTCGCGTCCCTCGACTCATGCATGATCGATGTCGCGTCCCGCTGCCGCCGGATGCTGGCTGAAGGCCCGCCGATGCTGTTAGACACCACAGCTGCGAAGCTATTCACGGCAATCGTGTCCCCGGGTCGGGTCGGGTTGACCCGAACCAGAAGCGGGTCGGGTTCGGGTTGACCCAAATTGTGCCGGGCCATTTTTGGGTTCGACCCGAACTCAGCCCATGACCCGAAATTGACACCCCTAATAATTATGACATTTCTGTATTTCCTACCATGTGTCTTTCTGTCGTCTGAGACTGTTATATCAAGAATCTATATTGTATACTTTGGTGGATAAATATAAATAAAGAAATTTTAGTGGATGAGTACATTTATGTATAGTAAAAAAATTAGAAGCTCTGATGTATGTTATTTGAAAAGAAATCTAATATGTATCCAAATAAACATATTGTTATGTTATGTTCTATCTTTGTTCCGTCACCATCAAATACAGTGTGACCTCTATCTTTGAGTTAAATCGAGTTGGGTTGCATCAATCCTCTTCTTATTGGTATTAAGCAGTTGTTTGGATAAATAAATTATAAACAAAGTTATAAGAATATATCTGTAGTAGTGTGAGATAGTTCTGGGCAGTATCATGTTTTGATTATGCATTATTATTTATATACATGTATAATTTGCTATGTTTGTTGTGAGTTCTAATGGATCAGCTTGAGCATGGTATGAATATTGGGCATAGTGTGAGCCATAGTGCACTGATTATTAGTACAACCATTATTATTGGTTCTAATACGATGTTACAATTGATGGGAGAGGCCAATAGTAGGTGTTCTTCTTATATGGTTAAAGATATGGATCAATATTTATAGTTATTTTTTAGATTGAAGCCTTTGAATTTGAGGGTATTGTTGAGCCTAGGGTTGTAGAAGATTGATTGATGAGATTAGATAAGACCCATGTATGTTTTATAACTTGTTAATACTTATGGAGAGAATTGTTACCATTTTTTGAGAGGATTAAGAGATACTCAAAGACATTTGATGATTCTGCTATGGATTATTAATTTTTCTAAGTTAGTTATGCGAGCCAGATTGATTCAGAATGATTTGACCACTACTTAGAAGCATTGTGCTCCCAGTAGGAAGAGGTTTTGTGGGGAGCCATCAGAGAGTGAGAATAGATATTCTAGAAAGAGAAGTAGAGTTTGACCCTTTGAGATCTAGAAGGGTAGTCATCTGGGTAGATTTTTATTGGTAGAAGTACGACTTGTTCTGGTAGTTGTATGCAAATATGATTGAGTTGTGGTAGGAGGCATGCAATTGTGTATTACCGGATGGTAGATTATTTTTTTCGTTGTGGTCATAGTGGACACAAAGTTACAAAATATTCATAGGTAGCACCTGATTAACTTTATGATGTTCGTTTTGAGAGTCATATCAGATTAGCAAAGAGACTAAGGATTGTTCCTCCAAGGGGATATGTTGATATAGCTTCAGGCAGAGCAAGTGGTATTGTGATAGGGAGACAATATGAATATGTACAAAGAGAGCCTTGTTTTTTTTTTTTTTTTGGTTAAAACCCACGGAGGGGCCTACGCGTTAATTAAAGGTAAAATTACATAGTCCTTAAAAGGACCTCGTGCCCACTACTGCTCAAAAGAGCTACAAAAAGAAAGCAAAAAAAAAAAAAAAACCTACGAACACAAGGTCCTTACTACCAAAAAATACATGATACCCTAGGTACATTTTACGGTGCTTAAGAACAAGCACCCAAAAAGAGGGAAGAGCAAAAAAAGAAAGGGAGATTTACATACATACCACTTAATACTATGCTATTTACATATTTAACACCTAAAACTTTAATATTACATACATACCACCCATAGTTCATTTTCATACCAAATATGAGTGGTAGAAATGAAATATATGAGTGGTAGGAAAGAAATGTAAGTGGTATATTTGATATTAAAATAATATAGGGTGGTTTTCATGCAATATTAACGTTTTAGGTATTAGATATGTAAATAGGATGTTATAAAGTGGTATGTGCGTAAATTTCCCAAATAACTCACAAGCAGCTTCCCAGCAAAAATCCAGAGCTCCCTTCTACCAGCTTCGGAGACATGCACAAGCAACAACAAGGCTAAAAAAAACCACCAAAAGATATTACCATATAAAAGCTTAAAGGTGTTAACAACCCACCAGTACCAATAACAACCCCAATTGATGACAACATTAGTATCTAGGTAGCCAATATAAAGTTTGGAAGAACCAACCCAGAGAAGAACAATCCAGTCGGTACCCCCAAACCCCACCAAAACCACACACAGTCATTGCCACAACCCCAAAGAATACGACCAAAAATGCACCTCCAAACTCCGAAAGGAAGCAACACCCTGGAAAATCCACACCACAAAAAACCCCAACTTAGTGAGCCAAAACAAACACACACCAGAAACACTGAGATACCCCAAGTGCAACCTCCAGACCACCAATCAGTAGAAAACAAAACACAGCTCCCAATCCACCACCAGCTCAACAAGGAGCCACAAAACAGAACGAAAAAACCAACCTTCAAAAAGACAGGCCTCCCCTGCTCCATAAATAACAAAATCCAACCAAAACCACCAAACAACACAAGCCTGCACCTATAAATAACCCATAAACTAATAGAACAACCAAGACCAACAGAATTAGAACCAGCCAACAGCCCACAAAACCCACAGAACCCAATAAAAGGATTAAAGAACAACACTACAGAGATAAGGAAACAAAAAACCACCAGAGCAAAACAAAACCCACTGCAAAACAGCCCAAAATTAATGATACATATAAGGAAAACCAATTTGACCTAAGTTGACAAGGCCTTGAACGTAAACAGGAAATTGA